AGAATATCTTGTCTAGACATTAATTTCCATTTTCTAAGAAGTCACTTCCTGAAAAGTTCGTGAAACACTATTCCTAGAATGAAGGACAAACGTGTGAACAAACGTGTGAAGGACAAACGAGTTTAATTTGTGTACGAAATCAGCATTGGTTGTAAGTATTTATTAGGCAAGGAACCAGTATTTTCAAAATACGTTTCTTTCTACATTTTTGAATTTGGCAAAATAAGTGAGACTTATAATTATTTTACGCTTATATGTACATTTCTTGATTTTAGTGTCATAAATTACTAAGTTTGATTTATTCTAATAATAATTCAGTTAAATTCCAGACTTAAATTAAAAGAAACTCCTATCTGCTCGAATCTTAATATTGTGTTTATACTTTCACTTTTTCTTTCACTTTTTCACATTTCGCTTTATAGCTTTCAAAACGTGAAAAATAAGATTACATGACAATATTATCCACTTCACTTGGAAGTCAATATGTATATTTTGATTTATAAATAAAATAATAAAAGAAATAAATTATACTTATAACACTACATTTCGAAGCATCAAAAAATATTTCATAAAAAATATTTTCATGCTGAGAATATCTCTGTTACCATATTTAGTATATATATTTATTTTAAATTCATAAAGTAGACTGAAATACTTTAGAAATCATGTAACCAGTCAATGCTAATTTTTCAAAATTACGCGAATAGTTTGCGGATGATCTAAAAATCTATGACTTTTAAATATGCTTTATAACTTTCAAAAGATGCAAACTCAGTTTACATGACAATGATATCCCCTCTACCTGTTTTTTAATATTTATATTTTGATTTATGGTGTTTATATTAAAAAGTGTGACTTTTGCTTTCACTACTCGCTTTATAACTTTCAAAACATGCAAACTCAGGTAACATGACAATGATATCCCCTCTACCTGTTTTTATTATTTATATTTCGATTCATGGTGTTTATATTGAAAAGTGTGACTTTTGCTTTCACTTCTCGCTTTATAACTTTCAAAACAAGCAGACTCAGGTCACATGACAATATTTCCTTTACCTGGATGTCAATATTTATCTTTTGATTTATGGTGCTTATATTCAAAAGTGTGCCTTTTACTTTTAGTTTTTGCTTTATAACTTTCAAATAAGATTACTTGCTAATCATATCTCCTACATCTGTCTCCAATATTTAGATTTTTACTCATGGTATTAACTTTTCGCTTTATAACTTTAAAAAAAAGTTATCCCAAATCACGTGAAAATGAAAATTCCATCTCTGTTCAGCTGATATATATACTTGGACTTATATTGTTTACATTCAAAAGTAAGGAGTTTTTAAGTCGGATTTAGTTCCTATGTATATACCGTTTAAATTCAGATTTTTAATTTACCCTTGATAATTCTCTTTTCGTAATCATTTAATTTTAATTATAACTTAATTAATTATAATTTAACTAATTGTAATTTAATTAATTATAATTTAATTAATTATAATTTAATTAATTATAATTTAATTAATTATAATTTAATTAATTATAATTTAATTAATTATAATTTAATTAANATATTTTTACTCATGATATTCACTTTGCGCTTTATGACTTTAAAAATAGGCTATCCCAAATCACGGGAAAATGAAATCTCCTTTACCGTTCAGCCGTTATATATACTTGGACTTATATTGTTTACATTCAAAAATAAGGAGTTTTTAAGTCGGAGTTAGTTCCCATGTATATACCATGTAAATTCAGATTTTTAATTCACCCCTGATAATTCTCTTTTCGCTATCATTTAATTTTAATTATAACTTAATTAATTATAATTTAATTAATTATAATTTAATTAATTATAAATTAATTATAATTTAATTAATTATAATTTAATTAATTATAATTCAATTAATTACAGTTTAATTAATAAAAAAAAATTTATTTAAATTTTGTAATATTATTAAAGAAACAAAAATAAATAGAATGAATTGGATGGCCCTTGAGATTAAAAAAAGAGTGATGACAATAGAAAAAAGAAGATATTGCTCTTTAAAACTTCAGTAACAGGAGAGCGGGGTAGGCGGCGGTAGAGATAAGCTAATACGGTGAAGTCTTATTTTCTTGCAATTAAGGAAAAGAATTGGAGATTAACGAAAAATCGGAAGTTTTCATAGAGAAATCTTCAGAGGAATGCATTGGCCCACATTGAGCTGTCTGTCCAACTATGATGACGATGTTGATAATTCCCTTTTTGTAATTTTTACGTGAACATAGTTTGCAATATTTTGTAAACTAATCGCTTTTCAGAATTTTAAAGTTAACCGAAAAATTAAAAAGGAGAGAGAACAAATTTGATAAATTTTTTCTAGTACTAAAGGTCGGAAACGTTTTGCTCTGATACGTCTGCTAAGTTCGTTTAATCTTTGGTAAATTAAGACATGATGTAATTTGCTGAGGATCATTGACCAAGTTAAATTTTAAACCGGTTATCATTTTGGATAAATATACCGATTGTTTTATATATTATATATCAGAATATACATACTATCAGGATACCACCAATCAAGTATCATCAATTTAAATTCAGCTTGTAGTGATTAAGAAATAATTGAAGCTCCATTGTGAAATTCCAGAAAGTGCTCGATATTTTAACTAACGATAAAGTCTTTTTGGCAATGAATTTTATTTGCAGTGGCCAGAAAGTAGTTCAAACTTGTATTGTTAAGCAAGCGGAGAGCTCCAATAATGATTCACTCTAGTAAAATGGAAAGTGGTCTAAGTTTCTTTTCTTTACTACATTTTTATGAAATACTAGTAGAAAATAATTATAATTTTCGTTTTGTTTCAGCTATTGAATGTAGAATGTACGAGCCACCTGCATATCCTGTTGTTGCAGCTTCTGCTCCATCTGAAAATGGTGATTTTTTTACAATTAAAATACACTACTTAGCCAGTCAAAAAAAGTCGCAGAGAAATTTCTTCAATCTTAACTTTAAAACAAAACGTGTTTTACATTGCATTTTGTCGTAAAATAATCAGCTTGATTAATTTTACAATTTTGAAGAAAGAATTCAATTGATATTTTTCAATATATCATTGCGTTAAATCAATTGATTTTTCAAAATTTAAAAAAAAAATTTAAAAGTCATTGAATTTCAATTTGCTATCTTTATCAATTTCAATTGGCAAATACATAAGAGCTTAGTGCTTAATTTCTACACTTTTTGAATTTGCAATTTTAAAATATAATCGTATTGTGTTAGGTATACGTATTATGTAGAATTAAATGTTTTCGAATATATTGAACACAAAAAGAGTTATTTTATTTTATTTTTCATAAAGAACTGTAAAACAGAGTTATTAAATATGGTCTTTTCAGCAAAAATAGATGATGATGAAGAACATTTCAGAAATTTCTAAGTTTTAAACGTATTTTGCTTTACTATACCAAATCCATATCTGGATTTGCAAGCTTACACATGAAAAAGAAGTAAAGTAAATATACCATAAAAGCTAAATTGGAATATGAAAAATTTGTATCCATTAAGAGGATTTCAAATTAAGATGGCCTTTAATTATAAACATTTTTTTAATTAAATATATTAATTAAATAATTCTGCATAATACGTATAATGCTGCAGCTACAGTAAGTGTGTTCTTAGATGAAGAAACAAAATTTATTTTATTTATTTTTTGAAAAAGTTTGAAATATAACTTAAATTAAAATTAAATTTGTGGTCTATTAATTTTAGCCTGTTTTGAAGATAATAATGATACGATTTTAATTTATAGAAAATTTGAATCATGAGAAACGCACTTACATTAAATTTTCGAGTAGCAAAAAAAAACTGGTATTTTTGAACAATAGTTTCAAGAAATGAAATGAATGTATGATGTACATTTTAAAACATACTTCGTAATGATTTATTTCTAATTCTATTCAAATTTTAATCATATTTACAAAATTTAACTAATTTTAAATGAAATCCTTAAGATTTATGTTGTTAATGTTTCTAATACCACTGTCGATATCAGTGGGCGAATTTAAAACGGAAAGTGTGCTTCTTGTTTTGGCCGAGAATTCGCCATCTATAGCCGAATTCTCGGTCAAAGATGGCGCCACTGAAAAACAAGAAATACGCTATTTGCCCTAAATTCACCTGTTTTAACCAAGAACGTTTTCTGTTATTGACAAATGGGATTAGAAACAACAGCAAAAAAAACAGTAACTTGTATTAACATGTAAGGCACTCCAACTGAAACTTGAACATTCAAGCTTATCGGTGAGTGGTCAAAATTCAGAATGACGATAAAAAAATTTTACGATGGCTTGGTGGTAATTTCAGCTTATAGTGCTCAAGAAATAATTGAAACTTTCATTGTGAAGCTTCCAGAAAGTGCTCGAAATTTTGCCTAACGATAAATTCTTTTTGGCAATAAATTTTACTTGCAGTGGACAGAAGGTTGTTCAAACTTGTATTGTTAAGCAAGCGGAGAGCTCCAAAAATGATTCATTTCAGCAAAATGGAAAGTTTTTTTTTCGTTACTACATGTTTATGAAGTACTAGTATAAAATAATTATAATTTTCCCTTTGTTTCAGCTATTGAATGTAGGATGAACGAGCCGCCTGCTGTTGCAGCTTCTGCTCCATATTATAATGGTGATTTTTTTTTCTCCACGTTGTAAAACATATCTATGTATAGTAAATAAAACAACTTATTAGAAAGTTAACATAACTTAACAATTAACTGTAAAATTGTATAACTAAATGTGTTTATCGTAAATTTTTGCTTACTTGGGTAATGTTATGGTCAAAGTTCTTTTTTTTTTTTGCTACTACATCTTTATGAATAACTAGTATAAAATAATTATAATTTTCTTATTGTTTTGTTTTCCGACAGATTCAGTTATGATGGACCAGCCGCCTGCATATCCTGCTGTTGTCGCTTCTGCTTCATATCATGATGGTGATTTTTTTTACAATTAAAATACACTACTTAGAAAAAAAANGCTCCATCTATTAATGGTGATTTTTTTTACAATTAAAATACCTTACTTAGCCAGCCAAAAAATGTCGCAGAGAAAATTCTTCAATCTTAACTTTAAAAAAAAACGTGTCTTACATTGCATTTTGTCGTAAATTAATCAGCTTGATTAATTTTACAATTTTGAAGATTGTATTAAACTGATTTTTTTTTCAGTATATCATTGCGTTAAGTTAATTGATTTTTCAAAATTAAAAAAAAAAAATTTAGAAAGTCATTGAATTTCAATTTATTGTCTTTATCAATTTCTATTGGCAAATACATAAGAGCTTAGTGTTTAATTTCTACTCTTTTTTAAGTTTTAATTTTAAAATATTATTGTATTATGTTATGTATACGTATTATGTAGAATTAAATGTTTTCGAATATATCGAACACAAAAAGAGTTATTTTATTTTATTTTTCATAAAGAGCTGTAAAACAGAGTTATTAAATATGGTCTTTTCAACAAAAATAGATAATAATGAAGAACATTTCAGAAATTTCTGAGTTTTAAACGTATTTTACTTTAATATACCAAATATATATCTGGATTTGTAAGCTTACACATGAAAAAGAAGTTAAGTAAATATACCATAAAAGCTAAATTGGAATATGAAGAATTTGTATCCATTAGGAGGATTTCAAATTAAGATGGCCTTTAATTATAAATTTTTTTTAGTTAAATAGATGAATTAAATAATTCTACATAATACGTATAATGCTGCAGCAACAGTGTGTTCTTAGGTGAAGAAACAAAATTTGGTTTATTTATTTTTTGAAAAAGTTTAAAATATAACTTAAATTAATATTAAATTTGTGGTTTATAAATTTTAGTCTGTTTTGAAGATAATAATGATGCGATTTTAATTTATAGAAAATTTGAATCATGAGAAACATACTTAAATTAAATTTTCGAGTAGCAAAAAGAAACTCGTATTTTTGAACAATAGTTTCAAGAAATGAAATGGAAGTATGCTATACTTTTTAAAACATGTTATGATTTATTTCTAATTCTATTCAAATTTTAATCATATTTACGAAATTTAACTAATTTTAAATTAAATCATTCAGATTTATGTTGTTAATGTTTCTAATACCACTGTCGATATCAGTAGGCGAATTTAAAACGGAAAGTGTTCTTGTTTTTCAGAGGCGCTATCTATGGCTAAGAATGGGACACACACGTCCCAGTAAGGTTATATTGCGAACTCATTCAGGCCTCTATTCATTCATCCGCAGATCGAAATTTAGACCTGAACCAGAGAATCAATCTCTAATTCATTACCCCCAGAGATACTGATTTGCTGTTGGAATATGGAGGACTTTGTGACCCAACAGATTTAAATTGTATCAGTTGTCATCTATGGCCGGATTCTCAGCCATAGATGGTGCCACTGAAAAACAAGAAATGCACCATTTGCCCTATATTCACCTGTTTTCACCAAGATGGTTTTCTGGTATTGACAAATGGCATTAAAAACAACAGCAAAAAATAACAGTCATTTGTATTAACATGTAAGGCACTCAAACTGAAACTTGAACATTCAAGCTTATCGGTGAGTGGTCAAAGTTTAGAATGGCGATAAAAAAAAATTTTACAATAGCATGGTGGTAAATTCAGCTTGCAGTGCTCAAGAAATAATTTAAACTTTCACTGTGAAGCACGAAATTTTGCTTAAAGATAAATAAATTTTACCATGCAGTGGACAGAAAGTTGTTCAAACTTGTATTGTTAAGCAAGTGGAGAGCTCCAAAAATGATTCACTCTAGCAAAATTGAAAGTAGTCAAAGCTCCTTTTTTTTCGTTACTACAACTTTATGAATAAATAGTATTAAATAATTATAATTTAAATTTTGTTTTGTTTTCTGACAGATTCAGCTATAATGGACCAGCCGCCTGCATATCCTACTGTTGTCGCTTCTGCTCCATATCTTAATGGTGATCTTTTTTACAATTAAAATACACTACTTTTCCAGCCAAAAAAAAAAGACGCTAAAAAAATTCTTCAATATTAACTTTAAAAAACAAAACAAAAAAACATACGCGCTCTTACACTAATTTAATTTTGTTAAAATCATTAGATTACACTGGGGGAAATTTTTATTTCTGTGGCATGAGATTTTTGATTCGATCTTAGATATCTTCACATCATTGATTTCAAACATTGAATCGGCTTCTCTACACACTGTGAAACATTTTGATGTATACTAAATAAATATAACTTATTAGAAAGTAAACCTAACTTAACTATTAACTGTAAAATAAATGTGATTATCGTAAATTTTTTGTTTATGTAGGTAATGTTATAGGATTCTAAGGAAGACGGAAAATAAATTTAACGGAAAATAAAATAAATTAATTTTAAATAATTTATAGTAGTGTATAGTAATGACATTTCTGGTAAAAAAAATAATATTTCTGGTTAGTGAAACCAAAATAAACAGTAATATATTTGTTGATTTTTCCTTTCATAAGGTAACGGTTTATTGGAAATTTTCGTTTTCGAAATTATAGTTCTTATATTGATACACATTTATTAAAAAATATAAAATTAAAAAGTAAATTTCAGCGAATAAATCGTTTCTATACCATGCTCAATGGTATCGTGATAAATTACCAAATTTTATCACACATTGTAAAACAATATTTTCTTAGTTTTATCAAAACTTCTTTACCAAATCACTTCGGTGAAAATTACCGAACCTAGTGTTTCGGAGAGCCAGAAAGATGATAAATGTTACCATATTCTTGTAGTTTTTACCTTATGTTTTTTCTCGGTGTAATTAGTCTAAGCTTTCGACCACAACCCCGTATTTAATTACTGGCACCATATTTTTCATATGGTGGCTACCGCTTATATGTTGATGATAGAAAATTCAAATGATAAACTGTGCCTGATTTCGTAACTTAATTGATAGAACAAAACAACAGTCGAAACGAAAGTTACTTTGCATAGAACGAAATCTATTTTCAGATGTTGTTTTTCTGCCCACCCATACTTACACTTGGTTTTATAAACCTGCAATGAGTATTCATAAAGACTGTTATTTAAATATTGTAACCTAAAATTTTTTTTAAAAAATTTATTTCTGTTAACAAAACTCCACACGAGACACAGAAAAGTTTTTGGAAACTATGCATTCTATAAAAAGTCAAAGCACTTACTTCATACTGTGCATGCAAGCAAAAAGTTAAAAAAAAGAAGAGATTTTTATACTTTTTCAATTAAATTTCTTTGGAAACCATTGAAAAATATCATTTGAATATCATCAAAATTTTAAAAAATATATGGAAATAATTAGTTTTTTTCTAACTTTTTTAAAAAAGATCTTTGAATAACTGTTTTTTGCGAAATTTATTATTTTATATCAAAACAATGCTTTTCAAAATCGAATAAGCATGATAAGGAAATACAAACTTAATAGTTACAGACTGGTTAATAATTATTATAGCCTGGGATGCTCGAAAAACAAATTTCTGATAAATATAGTTCCTAAATTCATCTAATAACCACTTACTTTGATTGAATATTAATTAAATGTCTGAATGAATAGGAGAATTATTATATATACGGATAAATAAGTATTTAGAAAAATTTTTAAACATTCAAATTAGATTATTAATGCTTCCATTTTATTCATTTTTAGCATGTCAAAAAACTGCTGAAATACAGTCTCACATACATCTCAGACTTAATCGAATGCAAGTAACTTTTACGTACTGCCGTCAATTCATTTAATCAAGTTTGTTTAATAATTTTTATATTAAACTTTCTTAACAGTTTAAACGACTGCTGTAGTTATAATTCAAACACTCTTCGGGCTGAATTCCATGTTAGTAACTTCTCATCCTGCTTTCTATTCATCTAATTAAGTTTGTACTAAACTTTTTATATAAATCTTTCCATTAAGACTCGTCTAGGAACTAGCGTCCTCATACGGAGAGTTAAGTAAGTGAGATAGTAAAACTTATGCATGAAAAAAGAGAGGTCGCAAGAACTATTGTGTTTTGAAACTTTATGTGTTTTGTATTAATAACGAAACAATAAAAAATACATATATTTATATAAACTACGATTGTCCTCTGCTTTGTATTATAGAGCTAATGAGTGAAGAGAAATTAAGATTCGTTTAAACAACTGTTGTAATTATGCCTTCAGACTTGATTCCATAGTTTTTACATACCGTCATCAATCGAAAACTATTATTAATAATGTCACTACTTAGTCTCTCTTTTTTTCTATTCCTTTTTTTTCCATCTGCACAAATTAGGGGGCTTGTTTTTTCGTTTATTTCAGTTTAGTTGTTGCCTGGCAGTCAATAGTGTAATTCGGCTATTGGATTTATGTTTCATGTAAGTTTTTGTGCGTATGAATTTGTCTTGAATTTATACTTTTGTATTTGCTTTATGTATTTTATATTTTGAATTGTATTCTCTTCCTGGACTTTGGCAGAAACTTTGGGGTACAGAGAGAGCAATTTAGACATTTGTCGTGCTCTCTCGGTAGAAAAGGTTTTGCATTTATGTCTTCCGGAGCTGGTACCCCCTGAAGACGTCAGCTGCGGTTGTCATATTTATTCATTTTTCATTGTTTCTTTTGTTTCAATTCCTTTTGGATTTTTAGCTGCATAGCGCATTTTTCCACTGGAAGTATTATTTTTCATTGCTTTAATTATTTTGAATTCTTTTCTTAATATATATTTGTTTTACTCTTTTTATTATTATTCTTAATCAATTTAAACTGATTCTGAAAATACTCTTTTGGCCTAAACCAATGCAAGTAAGTTCCATCCTACTGCTATCAATTCATCCAACCAAATTTATTTTATAATTATTGTATTAATCTTTCTGACTACTGCTGTAACTCAACAATGTTTTCAGACAGAATCTCATGCAAGAGAGTTTTATCGTATTGCGGTCTATTTATCCAACCAAGTTTATTTTATATTTTTTATATAAATCTTTTTGACCACTTTTAACAACTACTGTCATTAAATAAAGTCTTCAGACTGAATTCCATGAAATTCATTGCATCGCGCTGCTCTTTATTCATCTAACCAAGATTCTTTTATAATTTTTTTATTAATCATTCTTAAAATTTTAATTAATCAATGTGATTAAATGCTGTAATTAAATAATAACTGTAGAGTGAATCCCATACAAGGGAGTCGTGTTGTGGTCAATTCATCTAACCAAGATTGTTTGCTTTTTTTTATAATTTTTACATTAATTTTTCCGAACACTTAAAACAACTGCGCTAATTGGAATATGTCCTCAGACTGAATCCCAGCAAATTGATTTGTATCGAACTCCTGTCAATTCATCTAACCAAGGTTTTTTTTTAATTTAATGTTAATATTAATCTTTCTGAACTTTTTAAACGACTGCTGTCATTAAACGATGCCTTCAGACTGAGTTCCATGAAAATCAGTAGTATCGTACTGCTGGTCTAACCAAGTTTGTTTTATAACTTTTATAATAACATTTCTGAAAATTTTAATTAAGTTATGTATTTGAATGCTGTAATTAAACAACATCTTCAGACTAAATCCCATGCAAGTGAGTTGTATTGCTGTCAATTCATCTATACAAGTTTGTTTTCTTATATGTTATTTCCATTTTAATCTTTCTGACCACTCATAACGACTGCTGTGCTTAAACAATGTTTTCAGACTGAAATCCATGAAAGTGAGTCATATTTCTGTCAGTTCATCTTATTAAGATATTTTTTAGAAATTTTATATTCATTTTTCTAAACACTTTAAATAACAGCTGTCATTAAATCATGTCTTCAGATTGAATTCCATAAAAATGAGTTGTATTGTACCTACTTCCAATTCATCTAAGCAATTTTTTTTTTACATTAATCTTTCTGTTAAAAGCCATGGGCTGACACCTTTACACGGAGTATTAAGCAAGTGAAGTAGTGTAGCTTATTTATTGCCGAAGAGAGACCTAAGATCGTGTGGTGGCATGTGTTTTAAAAAATTGCGTGGTTGGTGTTAATAGTGAAACAACAAACAAATGTTTAATTTTGTTTTATAGTTTGTTGTTTTATATTATTATGTATAGAAAGTAATTTTTAACTATTAGACAACTGTTGTTATTATACCCCAAACAATTCCCAGGTTTAATGATTCTTAGACATTGCTATCAAGTTTCCAAATAGTCTCTTTTTATTCACATTTCATATTCATTATATTTATCTAACATTTTATTTGTAACATTTATTAATATGTTCTTATCTTTAAACTCAAATAAAATTATTTTCTCAAAACAGCCAATTGGAAAATGGTGCGTATCATTGCTTTAATCCCTAGCTAATGTAAAATATCAAATGAATAATTTCTCGTGCAGGGCATATTAAGTGTAAATATAATTAATTGAAAAATTCAGTCCATTAATACCCGCGTCTCAATTTCACGATAATGATTTACATAAAGTCAACTGGAACATTTTTGAAACAAATCCTGCTTGAAATCATTTCATTTTACATGAAATAACTATAAATTTCTAGAACGTCATTCGAATGGGCAAAAATCTATCGAACAAAGTAATGCATAATTCTGTGAAAACAAAATATTTTTTACAATTGTATTGGCTAAAATATTATCAGAACAAAAATTAATTAATTAATATAGGAAATAACTTAATATTCATTTTTAATGAGATCTTGCAAATAACAATTATCAGTATCAATTTAGTAGTTAATAAGTGCCAGAAGGCTGAAATTATAGGTAAAACACTAAGTACGTAAATGCGTATCTAAAAAGTGACGCATAAAAATACATATAAATGTCCGAGGCAAATTCGCTACGTTCTTCGGTATCTTGGTTCAAGATTAATATAAAATATCTTGCAATATCTCTTCAACCTTAATAAGGTGATAAATTAAAACATGTTGCTGTTTTAATCATATCTGTAAATCGATTTCAATAAGCATTGATTTCAATATTGGATGCTATGGTTTAGTATAATATTGCATTGTAGAATACAGCAAATTTGAGCATGGTTAAAAGCTCTTAAAAGTTTCCAACAGTTTAGTTGTAAAGATCACCAAGATGGATAGTAATATGCACAATTTTGTTTAAGATAATCTTCAAGTTTTAAATTCAACCTAATTGTCCTTTGAAGCAAACAATAGTATCAGGTAATAAAGTTCTGAAAGGATTAATTTCATAATAATATGGTTCAACCAGGCACTTTATTAAGATTACAAAAAAGAAAGGAACTGTGATCTTCGATTCGAAAAGCAAGATGCCCAAGTGCTGTTTAAGTTAGCCAAGTGCTATCAGTAATTGTTATACTAAACCACGTTGCCATTCAATTTTAGCTATAGAATTTGGCAATAAAGTACGAAAAAGAACTAATTTTAAAATAAAATGATTCAACATGTCATTAAAATAATTTGAAGGATGATGTATTTCAACACTCGTCAAAATTTCTTCTCCAAGAGTGCAGCTATAGAGTTTAGCGATATGAATGATAATTCACCCAGTTCCTCAGATGCTCGCGGTGCCTCAGATGCTTGCAGGTTTTCCTCCCAATGGGCCCAAGTTCGAATGGCAGCAGTGGGTGATTGATACGTATTCTGTTCCAGATTATCACCAACCAGAGTGCTGAGGAAAAATCTTTAGTGATAAACGGATCAGGGTTTAGAACTCTCTTGCTGTCGGACTAACAGTGGGAGGTTGCCATTTTTATTCTCCATGTAAAGCAAATGCGGGTTAGTACTATCAGGAAGACCTCCAGGAAGATTGGTTTGTTCCAATGATCCAAGAGTTTCCTTGTCCTCTGAGTTAGAATAAAAACTTACTAGGCTACGGAGTTGAACATTGGTAGTCCTAACGTAAAAATCATACAACGGCGGTTATAAAATAAAAATAAAATCTAAAAACCCAACAAAAAACACACTTCGTGTTTTGTTAATATTTGGCCATCAAATCTTTCAGAATTTTCGTATCAGATCTTGAGATTCATTGTTACACCAAAATGTGATACATTTCACGAGGATTTCGTGCGTAAAAAAAGTAGGGAATATTTTAGATATTAAAATTATGCATTATGGGATGTATCTCTTAATAGTAACATACAGTTGTGCTACGTGTTATTTAAAATTGTAAAAATTTTTAATATCATCAGGAAATATTTAGACGATCCTTTATTATATCATTAGTGTACACAAAACTGCATAACATGAGTAAAACACAATCAACGGATAAAAATAGATATACCACAGTTTTATTTCTATAAACAGAAGCCTTCTTCCTTGTAAAAACACAAAGTGCGAGAATAAAACAGGCGAAAAACATATTACATAAAAAATGGTTAAACCAATAGTGAAGGATAAGCAAATTTGAAAAAGGTTACTAAATATTGACAAGGGGGTTTACAATTGATATAAAGATATAAGAACCAAGTGTGTGAGGTAGGGTAGAATGCAAACCCCATGTGTGCAGGATGAAAAAATTGAATCAAAATAGATTTTAAACATTAAGAATAGATGGGATTCTAGAAATTTCATTACCTAAATTGTAAAAAACCTTCAAAGTGTGGAATGATTCCCAAGAGTCTAAATCAGTAGCTGACGAGCAGCGTTGGATGATTTTAGCTATATCTCCTACATTTTATTTTGTTGTTATAATTTAATTTTTACTTAATCATTAATAATCCGTCAAAGGTTTTATCACAAAAAACATTAAAATATAGTTCGTGGTGTTATTAGTATAAGCAAAGATTTAGAAAATTACTTCTTTTTAACTGTTTGTTTCAGCTGTCCTCTTAAGAGAAGTTTATGGTGGGAACAAAATTGACTATAACAGAGACATTAATATTAGTTTATAATTTTAGAAAATTTTATATAAAAAATTGTTGAAATCAAAATACGTTTCGCAAGAAAAATTGGGACTTATAAGTACCTTATTTATTTATTTATTGTTGATGTTTTTAACTTGTTCTGCATGGTGT